CGGAAATACCTGAGTTGGTGGCTGGCAGGTGTTGCCCACATTGGTCCAAGTTAATTGGGTGTTACCTCACGGCCTCCTGAAACCATGACTGAACCAGGCCAATGAAGGAAAACTCAAAGATCAAAAGGTTAGCTTGCAAGCGAGGTAAAAGTAGAGTCCTCGTATCAATTTCCTTGAGGACTGTTTGGCCGTATCAATTTCTCAAGCTGTGCATGCCCGTCTTACATGCGTTGTTAAGGGTCACAAACAACTCACTTTCAAGCCAGCCTGGATCAGCCAAGGTTCTGCCGGTATCCTGAGATGATGGCATCGGTGGTGGACCCGTAAACAAAGTAGTAATCGATGGCCTTTGCGTAGGCTGAGCGGAGAGTTGTCCGCGCATAGTCTGGACCTTGCACGTAGAGTCCCGCTCCAGGCGTGTCAAAGTTGAAACGGATCGTGTACCGGGCTCCAGCCTGCACACAAAGTGCCCCTCTGCCACAACGCCAACTGCGCACGTAACTGCAAACCAAAGAAGCGTCAAAAAGGACCTACGGCGCTCACACGCCGTTGCTGTTTGCTACTTGGCCAGGCGTTTGCCCCTGCCCATCGTTTGTCTTGCTTTTTGGCCCATGGAAATGATGACGGAAGCGAACAAACAAGTGCAGCAAAGCGCAGAACCACGCCAAGCCCAGCATTCGCTGCACATCTACCAATCAGGTCCTATCTGGCCAGCCCGTTGCCACCCCGAAGCTAGGCCTTCACGTTTGGCAGGCGCCCTGTGAGCGATGATGGATGGTTGGCAGCCTCTTTGGGCCACTCGATGACCATCGTCTCCGCCCCGTCCTGGGCGACGACTTTCAGACTGCGGCCCCAGCCAGGCTTTCAGCGCCACTTAGATTGCTTTCCTCGTGTAGAGGAAATTCGAAGAAGTTGAGGGACCGTGAAAACCAAGCATGACGACCAGTAAGCTGCAGGACGTGCAACTGACAGGTGAAATCGCCATCACCCAATGTCCCAAACACTTGATGGCCTACGCGAAGCTAAAATCATCTGGATCCACTCAAGGCACGGCAACTTGAAGACTCCGTTGTTTGATAAAACATCTACTGTGACACACTTGCTGGTTCTGAGCAGGGAGCCCCATCAACTATCCCCTGTAGCTCCTTTAAGGGAACCCCGGGCCTCCGCCAGTGCCGCCACAACGGTCTCATGACCACCACCCCAAAGAGGAGTGCGGCCATCGTCCATGAGCCTCCATGGAAATGAATCGGCATGTCTGCCGCTGGGGGAAACGGCTGTTTTGTTTCTGCCCATGTTCCGCCGGACAACCCAACTAATTAATTTCCTGGGTGGTTTCCCCTTGGCCTCTGTTTTCCCAGCTTAAACCGGGGCGCCCTCAATCCGTGGATTCCGACACAACCAGAAAGCGTGTGGCCCAGTTGAGCACAGAATCTGCACGCATGGACGCTGCGCAGTCAACATGTTGAACTCCGGATGTCAAGTAGGGGGTCTGAAGAAACAAAGCAATCCCCTTTTTGGCATCCCTTCATCGTGGTCTGATGCGCAAGGAAACGTGCCGCCCTGCCTTCCGACATGAAAAAAGTGATCCCCAGAGACGGGCGCTCTCCAGGTCACTTCTCCAGTCTGCCCTTTGCTCGCCACTGGTTTGACCTAATCTGGCCCTGTGCTTCCAAGGCTTTTCTTGCTGGTGCTTAGTAGGGAATGGCCCAGGGTGTTGGGAATGAACCGGAAGGGGCTTCCCTTAAAGGAAGCCACAAGGAATTGTTTCTTAGGGGGCATTCTCTCATTCCCTGCTGAGAACCAGCAAGTCTTTAGTGCATCTGAGGCAGGGACTAAGGCCTTGGAGGCGTCCGGCGGGTTCAAATAGGTCCAGGCATAGTTGTCCCAAAGCAACCCGTACTTGGCGCTGGACACAAAGAACGGCACCACTGCCTCCAGGTTGAACTGGATCATGGAAATTGGTGCCTCAGGGCATTCGAATTTATGGCTTGGGTTAGGTGCAGATCAAACATTGTAAGACGACTGCAACTCAAAATTGCCGCAATCAAACCTGATGGCCTGACGCTTGGCGTTGGTGACCTGGTGGATTCTAGTGGGTTCGAAGCTTCATTAGGCTTGAAGCTTCGTCGGCTGTAGTTGATGGGGATCACTGGATTTCTGCGAGGTTGGCTTCGCACGAATGAATTCTTCGTTCCTTGCTCGCTCACCCTGATAAGCCCGCAGTTACCGCACGTACCACTTAATCAGTTGGCAAAGCCGTGGCACAAACAGGCGATTGACAAACATCCTGGCTGAAATCCACCTGCTGCCAGCAGAGTTTTCACGCAGCTAGCTGGTTGAAGAGTTTTGATACGAGCGCGCCCACGCCTCCAAACAATCCCCCTGATGCTATGGCCAAGGTACGTTCTTGTAGTTTAGCAGGCCGTTCTGATAAGAGCCACCCCCGTAGAGACCCTCCTCCAAGCCGGACCAGGACTGCTGCACCTCGTGCGACTCCGCGCCCATATCCGTCACCTTCTGGAAACTGTGCGACATTTCCTGCAGGATCGGCCGCCCCCTGAGTGCAGAAATAAGGTTCACTGACCTTATGAACTCCCTGGGCTTACTTCAGCCAAGATCGCTGAGTCAAATGGCCAACTGAGACGCTGCAACAAACTCATTTCAACCCTCAGAAATGAAAGCCGCAAGCGCAGAGCTAATCACTAATTTCAGCAAGGGAAAGCCACGGCAAGTTTGGAAAACATGGCTCAAGTTTGCTAGTCGAGCGGCGAAAGCTCTGCAAAAGTGCCATTTCCGGACTGTTTGGAGAAGGTCACCTTCAGCTGCGACGTGGTAATGGTCACATCCTGGCGCTGTAATCGTCACTCCGTATGTTTCCAACCGAGTCATCCCTACCTGTTTCTTCAACCTGAAGGGGGTCTGCCTAGTTTGCAGTGGCAGGTCTGCCTGCCTGGAGTATCATTGGTGATGTATAACGTGCAATGAGGGGTGCTTGGTTTGGGGCAATGTTCGGCGCTGATAGGGAATGAGTCTGAACCTGTTCAAGAACCCTTTGGCACCACATGTGGGTTTCTTTCAACATGGGCTCCAAAAGGGGGCGGGGGTTGAAAGTAATGCGAGTTTCCCTCTAAACTAACCCCTAAAACGGGTGTCTTCCAAAAGCACAACGCGCACGCAAACAAATACATATTCTTCCTAAACGCTGGCAAGACCACCGTTTCCAGCAACCTAGCCAAGCAGGGCTTGAGAACATCCAGGATGACTTACCATCATAGACGCAAACCATGCCCTACCCTGCTCGGAGCCCTCAACAACATGAGGATCTATATTTCAACGTGTCCAGGGCAGTCAGCAATGCAACAGGGGGTGTGAGTTGGAATGTGTCATGGAACCAGAGCTAAGGGGCCAAGATTGCAGCCAAGGGCAGAAAGCACTTCCTACATCTAAACTCCACCTAATCTACAAGTGGATCCTCTAAATGGGCTGGGTAAGGGTGATGTGTGGCCCTTCCAGCCTTGAACTTGTTTGAAGATGGTTTCCACCACGAGGGCATAATGGGATATACAACCAGAGTGGCCACTGTAATGGGTATACATCTTCTATTTTTTCTCCTGGGGGTTGGTGGCCTGGGGTAGTGGAAGCCACCTTAGAGGTTGGCTCGGGGTAGTGCACGCGGGGTAGTGGACATCTAAGGCCCCATAACCCCCAAGGCCCAACCGCTTGCCGCGCTCCTCAGAGGACTGATTCATATGATACGGCGTGGGGGGCCAGCTGGATCGCGCCACCAGGCTGCTCAGGCCTGCGGCCTTCGCCTCGCGCGTTGGCCACCTCGGTCGGTGGGGCTCAACTGAGACCATTTCCCCGGCGCCCTCCTCACGCCTACCGCAGCGGACTATGGTACCTACTATGGTGCCGATGGATTCCCATGAAGAATTCCAGGACTTTGCTTAGTTTGCTGCTTGCACGTTGGGCACAGCCCTGGGAATCGAATGAAAGTTTTGGCGCCAGCGCCGGCTAAGAGCATATGCTACAGAAGGCGCATGGCGGCAACCGCATGGATTTCTACCGCCTTTCGTCAAACTTAGGCACGCTTCTGATCGCGCTAGGTCAATTTCAGACCCCAACAACCTTTTCTGCCCGTGGGATTCCAGCCCTTGCTGCCCAGATGGCCTTGTGACTCGGATGATGTTGGGAGCGCACACTTCCAGCTGCCCCAGCTCCCCGAACGGGACAATGCCCGCTTGAGCGGAGGCCAGGCAATTCAGCCAGCCAGCTATGGCTACCAGCGCCAGTCTCAATGCCATGAGCGAGGAATCAGGTGCAGCGAGCGCAAGGCCGCTAAATCAGACGGGATCCAAAGGGAAACGCAATGAATGATTTACATCTGCCCTCAGGCCTCAGGATCCACATCAAGCATGAACTTGTGTCAAAGACAAGTGAAGCTGTCCGCTCTCAGAGCGCACCTGATGTGCCCTGCATGTGTGTGTGTATGGCTCTATTGTCGCATGGGATGACCCTCCGAAGGGCCCAAACGGCTCAGCGAAGAAAGAAATACAGTCAGTCCCGTGGTGTCCAAATGCTAGCTGGAATTTCTTGCGCTGGCTGAATGCACCACAACAATTCACAAGTGCTGCCCCCGCACCGCACTTCTACACATTCAATCTGTACAAAGTGCACCTAAAAGACACCAACTACAACGGTTGCTGTTCCTGACATGCCAGTTGCTCCTCATGTTTGCAAACGAGCACCATTGTTCCCGGGTTAGCATTGGGAAGAAAGAACGCCTAGTCCTTGGTCATGGTGAAAGTAGGCACTACCCTCCCCCAGACTAACATGGAAGCTCCCAGGACCCCTTTGGAAGACTTGGTTCGGGAGCTTCCACGTTAGTCATCTGAGGGAGTGTATTCCCGTTTTGTCCGTAAAGGGGATGATCGAACCGACTTGGGGAGGTGCCAACGTTCACCTGAAGCCGCGCGCTCGCCCTGGCAGGGCCGTGCCTTCAAGCGCGCCACCAGGAAGTTAAGAGACTGCCTCGGATAACGGGCCAATGGCGCTGGAGTAGGTACCCAAGGAGATGTGTATGTATATACCTATGTGCATATATTTTGTACATATATATTCTAATCATATTTACCAGCACACTTCAATTACCCTTAATATACCCTCAAATGCCATTTATAGCCAGCCATATGCTCTTTTGTATACCCATCGCTTGCTGATATAGTTCAAACCCAAAAAAAAGAAAGAAAGACGCGTCTGGCCGTCAGGCCGTCGAGTCAAACTGTGGACTGCACACACCCAAGAGGCCAGCGAGCCCCATGTTCCGAAGCAAAGTACTGCTCGCAATGGCTCCACCAACATGGAAGCAGAATTGAACCTCTAAACTTCGAAACAGCCAAGCAAATACGATTTCCAGCTTTAAGCCTGAGAGAGGGCAAGATAGATTTCTTGTGGGCTCCAGTGTGAGATCATTTCCTCGTATGTCAGACAACGTTCACCACTGTGGGCAACTTGCTGGTATGCGAGAAAGCCCTGACTATGTTTAAATGCACTCGGTGGTGAAATGCGTGGGACACTTTACACAATGGCTGCCCTTTTGGGGCGCAAAGTCCCAAAGCTCATGAGCCTTGTCAAGTCTGCAAAACGGCGCCTCAAGTTTGACCTGGTACGTCGCAACATGTCCAAATACCAGCGGCTTGCCTTGGCTTGTCTGTGAAAGCCAGCCAGAAAAGCGAGTATGTAGCCACTTTGAGGAAACCCTCCGGGCTTGCCCTAGGCCGCTCGACCTCCCTTCGACCCGAGGAAAGGCTCGCAGGAAACTTTGGAAGGGCTTCTGATCCACGCACCTAGGAGCACCCTTCCCACACGCAGTTTGCACATGTGAGCGTGTCATGCGTGTCTTTAAGTTTGGACTCTCCCAAAATGGTGGGTGTCCTTTTAAAATTTTAAACTCCTCTTAAACCCCCCAAAAAAAAGGCGTACCCTGGAGAAAACAAACGCCGCAATGTGGAAGGGAAAGTGGAAATCAAGCTTCCTTTGAAGGGAGGCGCCATACTGGGAGGGCGGGTCCTGTGTCACGCACTGTCTCAGGCAAAACGCTGTGGCAGCTCCTGCAGCTTCTTCCACCGCTCCGAACCCCCAAGCGCATCCATGAACATGTTCCTCGGAAGGCAAAACAAAAAGCAGGTGATACTGTGGATGGACAAAATCCATTTCGCACCAGTTGGAAACCATCACAAACCACTGTTCGTTGGTATTTATAGGGGAATCATTTCTTCAGGGCCTCTGAGTTGGTGCGAAATGGAATTCGTCCATCCACAGTATCCCCAACAGCCCCGGAAGCCTCTGGAACCCTCCCTGAACGCCGGCCCCCAACCACCATTGTGGGAGCTTCTGTGGGCAAGGGCCCCAAAAAGCTTCCAGCTGTTGGGGAAAGAGCTCGACGGCGGGAAATGAGGCAAAAAAAAAAGCGTGATTGTTTGGGCTTTTCTGCGCACACTACCACACATGGTTACAGGAATGTGGCGATCTTTAAAATAATAATAAAACAAAATAATAATAATAATAATAATAATAATAATAATAACAATAAGAATAAGAATAAATAATAATACTAATAACAGTGAAACAATGATGCAACATGACTTTTCTCCGGCAAAGTTACAAATCCTGAGGAAAATATAGAAATAATTGGAAGTTATGCAAAGTATCATGGATGAATTGTTTTCTTCATTGTTCTTCATCATGTCGCACGGATTCATGGTCGATTCATCATTTGTGTACAAAAGCAAAACCATTGTTTTCTCGCAATGTGTTGGTCGTATTTCTTGTTTTCTGTGCAAGCAGGTTGCGTACTATAATAGAGGTTTGCAGAACAAGATGAACAAATGATGAATCCGCGAGAAATGATCGTTACATTGTCAACAAGTAAACGGTGATGAGGCCAAATGATGCCAAAACGATGAACACAAGGTTTTTTGTTTTTTTTTTTTTAAACCTAACAATGCTGAGCAACATCAGCACCAGCTGAATTCAACACCATCTCCGAGGAACTGGGCCAGCGCTTTTGAACATGACTAACCTGGTGGATTTTCCGGGAATTTCCGGGAAATGGCAGGCTTGGCGGCCGAACTGTGAACCACTTAGGGCTGCACAAACTTCAAACCTGCCACCTAAATGGTAGAAGCAAGGAAGCACCGCCAGTGAGACTAAATCCATAGTAGAGCAGGAGACCAGGAGTGTACCTTACTGGACTGCGGCTTTCCTTGCCTCCCTACTTTGGCTGTACGCTTCATCACTGAGCTGAATCGAGAACCACCACGTATTGGATATGCCGCAGATTGGAACCCTCCCACATTTTGAACGTCGCCAAACACTCCATGTATCCAATATTTAGCCACAGTTACCCTCCAAGTGGGTCACATTGGTACATACTGCCTACATGGACCTTGCGGGAACAAGGGAAGCGCTACCAATTCCGCAGGTGGAACCTCAGGCCGCCTTCCGTCCATATGCAGCACAAGCCTCCCCAGCATCACCCGGGCATCAGCCAACTCCTGAAGCCACATGGGCAAATCCACTTGCCCAAGTCTAAGGTCCCATGCAGGTTGGCCCAACCTCTTGCTTAACCACATAATAATCGGCTCTCTGCACAACTGCATGAGTTGTTCTTGTTGTGGTTGTGGTTGTGGTTGTGGTTGTGGTTGTGGTTGTGGTTGTGGTTGTGGTTGTGGTTGTGGTTGTGGTTGTGGTTGTGGTTGTGGTTGTTGTTGTTGTTGTTGTTGTTGTTGTTGTTGTTGTTGTTGTTGTTGTTGTTGTTGTTGCTGTTTTTTTTTTTGGGGGGGGGGAGGAGCAGCATTCCGTTGTTTAGACACATGGTGGCCAAGCCGGGAGCGTTAGCGAGCTTCAGCATCAAGCCAAATAACTTGGGAAGTCAATTTGGGTGTTTCCCCATCCACTGCCAGTGGATGGAATGTGCGTGCATCGGACCAGCCATCATGCACCTCCAAGGTGAAGTGGGTGACTGACTACTAATCCCTCGCCCTGACCGAACCATAGCCAAGGCAATCAAGAAAACCGATCAGCCAATCCCACCAAACAACAAAGCAACTACCTTCCCCCAGACTAACATGGAAGCTCCCAAACCCCAGGACTTCTTTGGAAGCCTTGGTTCCATTTACAGAGGCCTTCTGGGAGCCTCCATGTTAGCCTGAGGAGTGTAAACAGCCCAACAAACAAAACCTCGGCAAGTACAGGTCATCGCCCTCTCCTTCCGCCGCAGAACCTCGCTGGTCTGGGTTGCTGCGCTGTGGAGCTGTGATGCCGCCAGGGTGGTGGACCTCAGCCATGGTCAATGGGAGGAATCCGGTTGAGCTGCGCCCATGAAAGTCACGCCTTTTTTTTTTTGGGGGGGGGGGGGTTCTTTTTTTAGTGGGGGGCAAAGTCACGCGTAGTTTCATTTTTACTTTATTTTTCGGGAGGGGCGGGGGGAACCTCCCAAAATGGCGCAACGGGATTCCTTTTGGTTTCCCTTTGAATCCACCAAAAACAAGGGACACCACCAACAAAAAGACAGACAAATATCCTAAAACATATCCTCCAAAATTGCGGTTGAAAGGGAAACCCTGAAAGCACTTTGGAGACACCTTGAAATCTTCACTTTCAGGGACCCAGTTGAGGGTCCATACGGACAGCAACAAAAAGGGGTTGCATAAGTCACACAACTCAATTTCCCTTGGTACAATTGGGTGAAAGTGGGTGCGTTTTGGCTTAGTCATCCGCTTTGCTTCCCCAAGGGAATCTTGCCTTCTACTTTATGCTGGTGTGTACATGTCATTATGAAAACGGCCGCCCCAGAACTGTAAGACTTGGTTTCGGGCCCCCGCATCAACCTGCAGTCAGTGTTCCAACAGGGTTCCCTATATCATATTTACCTTTTGGGCTGGATTGAATATGGCCTTTGAGTGGGGGATGCTTAAAGAGGAAATGCAATATAGGGAACCCCTTTGCAACATTGACATATACCCAAAGGTTTGCTGCGACACGGGGTGGCCCCCATCACCTTTGACGGCCCGATTTAAACCACATGTCGCCACCCGACCTCATGACTGGAACCGGATACACTTACTGTACATGATCCACCAAAATTCGAGCAGCTCCCCAAAGTGAAACGTTCACAAAGGACATTTGCGCGTATCAACCGACAAAATGTGAGTTGCCCTCAGCTAAAATCAGCTGAAGTGTTCCACGCCGCGGGCAAGCCCAAGACCTTTTTCGACTCAAGGTACCGAACCAGGACCTTTAGAGCCAAAGACCCCCGTTCAAAGGCTCGGAGCCCCACAACGGCCCACGCTCCACTCCAAATACCCTAAAAATCTGAAGGCAAACTATAGGTTTTGGGGGGGCTTCATGCAACTGAGAAACAAGATGCCTTGCTTCATCTCTGTTTTCGGAAAACACGCTGATCAGGGGGCATGCCCCAACTCACACAGCTTCAGAAGTGATCAGTTTTGAGAATTGCAGCCACGCAGCGCTGAATCTTGCTCCGAGTGCAAGTACGGGCACTCATCATCCGAGTGCCTAACACAAACAAATGCGCCAGCACTGCGCGCTGTTGACTTCAGCCAGTCGCAGCAAATGCAAACAACGCCTGCAACCACCGGCAACGAAGGGCAAACGCCTGACTTGAACGTAGCGCACCGTTCTGAGGGAACTGGATCAGACTGTTGAAACTTTCGCCGCCGCAGCTGGGCAACACGTCAACTCCCTGTCTCTTTACCGCCTCAATGTGAGAGACGCAGGGCTGTGGGAGGGCACATCCGAGATTCCCCCGCGCTTCAGCAGCTGCCCCAACTCAGCGAGCAAACAAGTGGTGGTTTTTGTATGGGCCCCTTCCGCGAAACCTTCCACGAAGCTTCTGCGGTGTGAAGGGTACCTTCCTCAAGCATGCTGTCTATATAACTAAGTGCTTCTGCGGGCCTTCCGCGGACAAGTTGCTTCTGGATAGCTTCCGCGGGACGATTTGCTATAGCAACTAATTCTGGAAAGAGCAAATGTACTTTCTGTTATGAGGAAGTCCCTTCTGGCCAGGTTTCCGCAAACCTTCCTGCAGTGTGGTGCTACCTTTTTTGGTCATGGTTGTCCACCACTAGACATGTTACAGTGACATGTTGCTTGAGCCGAAAAAGAAAAAGAAAAAAAGAACAAAACAACTCAAATGTGTCGTTCGATTGACCCGCCTCTCTTGAGAACACCACCCTCTTACTGGATATGGAGGGTCCCCCACAAAGATCGTGTCGACACTTTGGGGCGCCTTTGTGTTTCCCCGAAAGGCAGTCAAAAGGCAAACCTCCGTCTTAGCCAAACGAGTGGACCTACAACCTGTTGCTGATCGATGCTGTTTGCAAAGGAAAAGGACACGGTCCTGGCCTGCAGGAGGTTTCTGCCAGCTTGGACCAACAAGGCAGCCTGCTGGTGGCAAAGTCCTGGCCAGCGACCCGTGGCTTCTGTTGATCCTAATGGTTCCTTGTTTTGTTTTTTGTTTTTTGTTTTTTTGGTTGTTTTCTTTCCGTTGTGTTTGGTGGGGTCCTGTATTCCCCGCCAACAGTCCACCCCTGTACTGGCTATGCTTTTCACGGAAGTGGACAGAGTGCTTCTCCAACACAAAAGCAGTTTTCCAAAACCTCCGATCGTCGGCTTGATAAGAATGTTGGAGGGAGGGCAACGTGACGCCTAAGCGAGGGTCATGGAAGGTGTGGTGGGAGGAAAGTAGGGATTTGACTGGCGCATGGTTGGAAATCTCGCATTTGTTTGCTGCCTCCACATAATTACAGTCTATGCTTTGACGCCCTCTGGCCACAGGCGTTCCACGTGTGGGTATTTTACAATCTTTGCCAGGCTTTTGCGGAGCGGTTGCTGACGGGAGGAAGGCGTGCCTTGGCAGGGGTCCTTAGAATCTGAGCGTGTTTTTGCCACGAAGAAATCCATGTGCCAGGCTCAACTATGTCGTACCCCTAAATAAAGGACAAGCATGAGGAAAGACTGAGCTTTCCCAAAGCGGACGTTCCAAACGAGCAGACCATGAAACCCAAGTCTCAGGGTCGCAACCTTAAGACGAGGTGGGCTTCACAGCTGAAGATTGGTGGGAAAAGGTAGGGGGCTCCTCAAAGCGAAACTTGGGCAAAGGACTACTCAAGGATATCATCAGTTGGACCAGTTGGACCCTGACATTAACATTGGCTTACCTCGAGTTTCGGATGCTCCCCTGGCCATTTACTTTTGGCTCTCGGTCCTTGCAAAGCTCGAGCCAGGCACAACAAAGGCTCGCCTGCGGCGCCATGGAGGGACGAAAGGGGAGACCCCTACTATCTGGCATTTGTTGCGGCAGAAGGATTAGCCTCAAAAAAATGGGTCTAACAAAATGACGGCAGCTTGTAAAAGACTCTTCCACGTACCCTCGTCCTGACATTCACAAAGGAATTCGATAATATGGTTTAGCTAGCGGCTCATATTGTAGCTGTGTATGTCTGTCAAAAATTTGGGACCACTTTTGGATCCATCCTAAAGGAAACCTGCACTTGGAGAGGCTCGTAGTTTTAAAAACAGTCATACTGTATCAATATCTGTCGATATGTTGCCGCTAGGCAACCTGCATCTCACAGATTGAACCACTCATAGATTCCCACTGGCTGAAAGACACGACCAGCATGACGTTTGCTGGCAGTGGCTGATGCAATGCAATGACTTCCTAAAACAACGCGTCTCCAAAACATTACACGAACTTTGCCGGCGGTTCATCTAGAGGGCCGGAGGGCAAATCACATATTATATGAGCAGGCCCCCAGCATCCATTCACGCATCTAAATGCTTCGTTCTCCGGGAATATGGGTGGTGAGGCTCTGCCTGTAGACTGGGAGCCCGAAGCGCTTCCCAGTTCTTAGAACTCACCATGCCAGCTTCCAAGCCTTGCCCCCCCCCATTCCCAGGACTCGGTGTTTGATCATCCGGCATTCTTCCCCTCAAAGGGCAAGATATGAGATCCTTTGTCCGCCTCCAGGACGTATGACCACTGGCTCGCCACGCGGGCCATCTCAGAGATGTTCATCTGGCGGCTCTCGCCTACGGGGCGAGCGATTAGCACCTTCGACAGCAAACCCGCGGTTGGGCTGAGATGTTGAACATGGTGATCCCTGATCTTTACCTGGCATAAGGACTGATTTTGAAAAGCCCAGTGTTTTTGTTTTTTTTTTTCAGAAGGTTGGGGCAGCTTCCAGAAACTACAATCCCCCAATGAAACACGTCACTGTGGCGGGTCCCAAGAATTGCACGCCTCAGCACGCATAGAAAACTCCAATGCTTCACGGTGGCAGCTACCTCTTTTGGCCCCTCGACGCAAAATCTTGATTGGCTCCCACGAGTTTGGGATGATAGGGGTATAAACTCGCTCTGCTTAGCTACAGGCCTCCTGGCAAGAGGCTTACAAATTTGGCATTTTGTAGGGGCCCTGAAAATTCCATTCACTTCATGGGTCCGCTGTTTTCTGCACCTCTGCCAGGGCTCTTCGGAACCATGCTTCCACAAGGCGCGAGCCTGAAAAGCTACAGACTTGATATACCATGGCAATTGGCGCTGGAAGTGCTTGGTTTGAAAACGAAATGGGCGTGCAGAAAGGGATCCTCCAGAAATGAAAGGCCCACATTGGTGCTCGCTTGCGGGTCTGGCCTGGCTGTGCCAAAGCTAGGACTACATGCTTCTGTGCTGTTCGGGGACTCCGCCCCCTGCCAAATCGAGATCTGAGAGCGCTGCTCTGGGGCTGGCAATCCGTGAGCACAAGAAACTTGGGACGTACTGCTTCCGGCCGCTCTGCGAGGAGCCATTCCTCAGCCCGGCCTCCCCTCACAGAAAGCCCGCACGCTTCTTGGAATGAGAATCAGGACTTTTGGGAGTACCAAGATGGCCTGCTACCCCTGGTGCCCAATCAGCTGTTGGTACCCTAGAGGTCGTGATCAAAGCGACACTTCTTGCCCAAAGGATCACAACCTTGAGCCTTCCATCACGGAACATAGTTTGAACCTGGCCAAAGGAAACAACTCTAAAGCACACCAAGCTTCCACAAACCTTGGCCCGGGTCAACTCCCAAAGAACCCCCTGCCTGGTCCTTCACGACCTAAACCCTAAACCCGTGGATTCGCCGTCATGAGCAGCATTCAGATAGAAACCTTGCCCTGCCAAATGGTGGCTCCACCAAGTAGTGCCCAGACAGCGAACCCTGTCACCTCGGTCTCAGGACCTGCTGTGAGTCAACATCTACTAGCTCCGCTTAAATCAAAAAGAGTAAGATTAAATAAACCAAGGGAACAATGGAAACAACCGGCCAACTAGTCATCCAACCAACCAACCAACCAATCAACCAACCAACCAACCAACCAACCAACCAGCCAGCCAGCCAGCCAGCCCACCGAGCAATCAAACTAACAAACTAACAGGCTCTCAAAACAGCAGGGCACACATCGGGGATCGACAAAGGCCCAAGAAGCCCTTAAGAAGCCCTTAACTCCAAGCAGGGTCGCACTCATGCCTGTGTCCTGGAGACTCCTCCTTTCCTGAGATCAAGGCGGGCTGGCAGAAATCCACTCGACTCGCTGAGTGAATTGCCATATATACTGTGGCCTCCTTTATACATGGGGTTTCGAACGGAATCTGTTTCAACAAGGTGCGTTGCCTTTTAGAGTGTCTTCCGTGTGCAGGAATTGCCATCCGGCTCTAGCGAGGGCCCCTTCCAGTCAAGGAATCCTCGATCTTTCTCCCTGAAGTCACCCTGAAACTGGCAAACCAACAACGCATGACGTGAATCGCACCGTGGGAACGTCATGTCGCTTTTCAAGCCAGAACACAGTCACGGATTCTTGTGTATGTGTGTGTGTGCCCTTGCTGATGCTTGTTAGCATCACCTTTTGTAAACTTGAGCCTCTTGTTAGTGGAGCGATATTTCAAGGAGACCTTGTGTAAGGGTGTGAGAACCCCTCTTGGATGGCATTGAAGGCAAAACACAAGAAAATGGCCGCACAGGCCCCAGTGGAGGTCTGAAGCTAAGGCACCCAGCCGTTTGCAAACACGCAACAGCGGCAATAAGTTTGGCCGTGCCAAGTTGCACTGCTTCGTTGCTTCTTGTTCTGCCAGTCTTTCCTGGCGAAGAGCGTGAGGTCAAAGCGCGGTTCGGGAAAATCCTGCCTGGTTGCATCTGCGTTTCACTTCCCTGACGAAATGACATTAACAAAGAGTATGTGCTACTTAGCGACGGCTATGTGTGCCACCTTTCAATATCATCCCCCAACCCCCTGGAATCGCCTCACAAGGTGACGTTGAATCTCCAACCCCCGCGTCATGTTCCGGGTCGCACCATCATGGTCTCTGTGCCACCTTGTCGAAAAGATTGGATTGGAGCTCCAGAGGGATTCCCCCACCTTAGGGGATGAACTTACCCTGCAGGTCCCCATGGAACCATCCATTTCCACCCATTTCCATCTATGTCCATCCATTTCCTTCCATTCAAACAGGAGGACCAGGAGGTCCGTTTCTTTCGGTGCATACCTTATAATCACATACCCACATCACAACATACAGATTCATCTCCCTGGGTTGCTGGGGGCTTCCTCCTGCACCGGGAGTCTAAACCAAACATCTCCACTGTGTTTTGGTCAAGGGCAGCACTCTGCAACCAAGAGTGGCATGTTCAATGTCTGGTTACCGGTAGTGGCACCTGGGATGAACTAGACATGCTAGCGCCTAGAAGGGACACTTGGCAGCCCCTTGTCGCATTCCGTGGCTACCCCCAAAATCGGGTCAAAGGTGAACCCTATGGACTGCCACTGATTTCTTCAAAGCAATAGGCTCCACATGTCAGTGCAAAACAACCGAAGGTCTGGTTTCCACCCTTCGACCAAACGCAAGGCTCAGGGAAGGGCAAATTCCATCTGCAGGACCTCCCTTCTACAAACTTTCCAGGTGCTGTACCACAACATGCCACCATTCCACAAGCAAACACCTCAACCAAAAAAGCAAGTACTGCATGGCACCATGGCTTGACTCAGCCCTCGGCCTCATCTCCTGCAGCTCCTTCAGACACTTTGAGAAGCCTTCTGTCAGCTGCTCAAAGATCTTGGCATCTTTGCCGCCTGCCGGCAGCACCAAGGAACACCGAGGACATGTGCGGGCCCCCTTCCCCCAGATGTGCATGCCACTTGAGCCTGAACTTGCTTTTGCACATAACAGTATCCAAACTTTCTATGTCGGATGTCAAATGACGGCACCGAGCCAAGTCAAAATGGGCAGTTGCAGACTCAAACACGCCCTTCGGGAAGCGAACTCCCTGAACACGGTCATGCGATTTGTCAGGTTCAATGGCGGGCAAGGAATGAGCCTTTCATTCCGTGCCCGGCCTTTAAAGTCTTTCTGTGTTGCCACCAGCACGAAGGAGCTGAGGCGCAAAGCGTAGCCAGGGGCAAGTGCCTGATGCGAAAGGAACTCCAAAGCTTGGATCCATGTACGTGCACGATATTTTATCATTCAGCAACCGGGATTAATGAAGCCCAAGTCAAGGACCTTCGTCATTACCCCTTTAACTCCCAGACCAAGTGTGTCCTCTCAAACCAAGCATTCCCGAGCACTGCCGGGGAATTCCAGGGATCCTTTATTATGGTGCACCCCCTTGCTTATCCAGGTGTGCCAATCCACGGCTACCTCACTCTCCACGTGGACAACCACATGAGGCAAAGTCTGAGCTGCTCGCTGAACGCAAAAGTAGTTTCCGAAAACAAAAGTATCAGAGTCTGGCGACATGGGAAGTACGTCAACTGCACACAAGTTGTTGCAACCAACGGATACAATAAAAAAAAAAAAAAAAAAAAAAAAAAAAACTGCAAGCAACTATCATCATGGGTGAGTTTGTCTTTCTTACCCCTTCCCTTGGCAAGCTTGGTATGAAATGTTCAAACACAAATCCCTTCAATTATCCCATCCAATCCCAGAATCCAACATGCGCCTTGGGCAATCCTGTGAGGGTACACCCATACGCCCTTGCTGGTCAGGGGCAACCAGACTCAATCAACTTGGGCCAGCAAGAGGTGCGCCACCCCCGGGCAAAAAGCCCCTTGATCCCTTGAACAGAACACTTCCTGTGATACTAAGGTTGTTGATTCGCATAACTACCTCATGACAACAAAGGGGAGAACTTCAGAAATCGGTCTTTAAAAACAATTTGATGAACATGGGTCATGCGCGAGTTGGGCCAAGCCCCCTCTTTAAAAATGTGCTAGTGGCAATTGTTGGTAATCACTTCCCCCTATTAATAAAGGTCTCCCTAATAATAAATAATTGTTTCGGAAGTCCCAAATCCGGGAATACTACTTTTAGAATAGCCAATGCTAAACCAATTCTAAAGTAGATATTTTCCTGCCCGTACTCAAATCCAGCCCCATTAGGGGGACCCCGGGGGCACGTTTCCTTTAATTACTACGGCTGTACTACAAAGTTGCGACTTTCAGGCCAGAGCTCCGGGAGCACGTTTCCTTTACTACGGCTGTACTACAAAGTTGCTGTACCCAAAACCCACAACCAAAAACAACAAAACGTGACCTCAACTCCCGCTACTTAAATTCCTTACTCAGAAATGTGCGTTTGAAGCGATTTTACGGAACGGAACAGGGGGACCACAGTTGCAAACAAGCCTACACAGAACAAGAAGTACCTCCAAAACCTGCCCTCCAGAACCAGGGGACCCCTAATAATAAAAATTGTTTTGCAGGCCGGGTATTTTTTTTATTAGGGGGGGGGGGCGTCGTTTATTATTAGGGGGAAGGGATTACATAGGTGTTCAATAAATTCCCGGCTAAAACAGATACCCTCCCACCAACTAACATGGAAGTGCAAAAAGGCCTTTCTAAGAGGAGAATAGTCTTTCTACAGTTGGAGGGTAAAAAATATTGGAACTTCCTTTCCCCAAGGCCATTTTGTTGGGTCTTGTGAACAAAAAGGCAAGGCCGGCCTTCAGCTCCTTGCAGCTAGCCCAGGCTTCGCGGAGACCCCGAGATCCTAGGAAGCCGGGGGCCAGTCCAAGGGGCAAATTTCGGGGTCTTCCTATGAAAAGGAGAGTCATTCATATGTGTCTGCTTCTTTTCTTCTTGTTTTTTTTTGGGGGGGAATATTTTTTTTTTTTTTGAGTGTTTTTGTTTTTGGGGGAGGGGGGCGGGGGGTCCAGGAAACACATGCGAGTTTTGTTTCCAAGCCGGGGACCTGTGCACGTACATTTCCCCGTGGTGTCTCTGTGAAGAAGCCAGCCCTGGCAAACACATCTGCAGCCTGTGGCCTCGTACCCCCCAAAAAAAAACTAACATATTGGAAGTAGGGCAACGGGGGAAGCACTTCAAATGCCCACAACCGTCTGGAGCCTTGCGGTTGAATGTGACAAGTTCGTTTGCACAATTCGTGGAGCCCACGGGCCAAAATCGTCTGGCGAGCCCTGCTTTCTGGTTGCCGTCTGCCTTATGGGCTCGAAACAGGTTCGTGGCCCAACATACAAACGGGCCCAAAACCTGGGTCTGTCTTGCACGAGGCGCAGGTATTACTGGGGCCCAACCCCGATGATCAGTGAAACCCCCTGAAGATCTCTGTTTATTCCTTCTGGGAAGGATCTCCCACTCATGGGGAGAACTCGAAGAATTCAGAGACTGATCCGGTAAGCCGACAGTTCGGCAACTTTGTCCCTCATGAGTCAACAGCTCAACAGGAAGCCAGCATCTCATCCCAAACAGGAAGACTAACCAAATCACAACAAATATAACATGGTGCTGAGGACACCTTCTTCAAGATGTGAGCTTTCTCTATTCAAAAGGGAAAGCATGCCTTGGTATATCCTTGTAGCCGACTGCGTCCCCTTCTCACCTATGCGCCTGAGCGCTGTGGTCCCTCAAACGGGAGACACCGCTGGGTACTGCTACTTGCTCGCCAATCTCATCCAGAAGCAAGCCGTCAACTTCGTCCAAAGGACAATAACTTCAAACTAAACACACTCACAGCTTACCCTTGCCCACCTCGACCCATCTGCAAATGCAAACCCCCATCCGTTGCACTCCCTGGATCCCGCCCCGCCACGTACATTCGGAGGCACGTTCCCGGGTCTTGGGTGGGGCCAGGAAGGCCTCTTGCAGGTGCCGCAGCGTTTGGATGATGTGCTTCTGCCGCGAGGCTTCCTGAAATTCGTCAGAAACTCTGCACATCTCTCTGTGGGTGGCACTTGCATCAAAATGTGCACCAACCCTGCCTCCCCTGGAAAGTCATGCGTGGCTCCCTGAGTCCAGGCATTATGGCAATCACCAACAACAACACCACACACACGCAGAAACGCCCTTGCGCTAGCAATTGCCAAAGGATTAGCTGAGTGGTCTGCTAGGGTGTGCTAGAGCGTCTGCTCGCCCTTGCTGTCCTCTCAGCTTGGTGTTGCCAATCAGCGGACAATTTTGGACAAGCTACAGTTGGGTGAAAGTAGATGGCACAATTCCCAACGTTGGTTTAGCCATCCCCTTTGTACCACACAGAAAGGGAGCTGTGCCATCTACTTTCACACTGGGGTGCATACCGAAGCCATTGCCACCCGGACCTGCAGGTTGCCTGTTTCATTTGCCATTGGGCCTGCAGCGCAGCTTCAAACATACCTGCGGTGAGACAAAATTTGGTGAAGTCAATGTTTGCCAAGCATCATTGCACTTGCTCCTTGCAACGCTAAAAAGTATTACGTGATTGCATGCAAAACGGCTTGGATCACGGAAGTGATTCAGGTTTTTACACCTTCAGGTGTTATTTCATCAGGGAGGGTCCTAAAGTCGCAATCGGGACGGACTCTGGCATCCTTGCTTGACTGGGTTGGGGAAGTGTTGAATGGATCTCATCTGAGGGCTCAGCCGGGGCTGACCCCGAATGAGCTCTCTCATAATAGTGCTGCCCCATGTTTTTGGGTTTTCTTTCGGCTTCCCTTTAAACTCCTCGAAATGGGGGTGGCCTCAAAATAAAGGCACCCCCAAATTGTTATGCAACCGGAGCGCCTTCTTGCTGGAAGCCTTGCTGTCTTGGACTTTGCCCATGGTCTTCATGTCCTCCTGCGTGTGGTTTGCCGCTGCGTTGTGGTGGTAAGGGGTGGTCAGGAACCAGCAGTAAGAAAGAAAGCGGCCGGGCAACGGGGCTGGTCTTGAAAAGCTTGGTAAAAGGACAAGTTGTGTTTGTTGCCTTGCTCTGTCAGCTTTGAACCTTGCCAAGCCCATGTCACCGGCCTATGCAATTTGCTAAGCGCCAATTTGGACACCTCACTCTTGTTTGTTTCTGTTGACAATGAAAGGTTGGTGCGTGCCCCTGCAAACTAGCACAGAGCCTAATCGAGGCTGGTCTGCAAAGTCTGATTGCTTCGGGCTTTTTCTGGGCTCTGGAGCGCGGGATTCAGATTCAGAGCAAATGAGACTTTGCATCGGCAAGTGCATGTTCCCTCTGGGCAATTTGCTCTGTTCCTATCGACTTGCAGATTCGAGGCCCCCGAAATGCAGTCAAATACTCCAAAACGAGTATAGTGTCCTCCAAATGGATCCAAATGGGGACACGCCCCTCCCCGACATATCGTCAACCAGGAGTTCAGGAACGAGCCCCACTACCTCCCCAGATTTGCTCAACCATTTTTCACTCAGCAAGGCGCCTCCGCGAACAGCCGACACCCGCGGCTGTCGCTGACCATGGTGTCGAGCTTCACCAAGTTGGGGAGCAGGCCTTGCGAGCGAGCAGCTGAGCGGCCAAGTGGTCCGAGCCGCGCCAAAGTGGTTGACGACCAACTTGCCGCTGCTCAGGGAATGAGAAATGGAATGAATCCAGGGGTCCCCTTAAAGAAAAACACAAGGGATGGTTTATAGGAGTCATTTCCTCTTTCCCTGCTGGGCACCAGCAAGCCAAGGTGATATGAAGTTTGCTACCAAAGAACTCATTGCCCATGCCCGAATTCTTGGTTTAAACAGACGGCTTACAACGATGGCTCTGCGCTGGTGCTGGTCCCTACAGTAGGATTTGTGGCCAGCGGTTTCCGACTCTGCTACAAATGCATGCAACGTTACGCCAATTGCAGAAAACCGGCCTTCCCACTGGCCAAAGAGCAGTCCAAGCATCTGGGTGCCCAAAAAACAGCAAAAGTTCAAAATCTAAGCAGCGCCATGCCCTTTGGTCTTGCGGAAATCCACTGACGGTCCATTTGGCCAGATCCTCTGAGAGCCATTTGATCAGAAGTCTCTTCGCGCCTCCGCCCAGCAAATTGCACAGCCGCTCCAGGAGTTCCAACCAATTCACCTCGTGGAGGTTCTTGGCCGAGCCTCAGCTCCGCGGATTTCGAACGGCACCTGAACCTGCAGAAAACCCGAGTTCCACTTCGGAAGCTCCAGCTCTTTCATTGCAAATCGGCTTGATTCCTGGCTTGTGGCACAGTTCCACCAAAAAAAAAAAAAACTAAAACGGGGAGGCGCAATGCTGGCCTAGGGAGCCTGCAGCACGCTTTCTGCACCCTGTCTTCTTACATTCTGTTTGGTCAGTCCTGCCTGGTTTACCTTTTGCTGCGCTTTGCGTTTGGTCCAGCGTCCAGCCCAATCATGACTTCGACTCAGCGGCATGCTCCCAAGCTTAAGTTCTCATGTGGCAGGCCCACACGCATGGCCTTGCTGACCTGCAAAACTGTTTTCAAACGGCAAGTGCGTTCCCGACTTGTAGCGCTGGATCCAGCTCGGTTGCGACGCACCAGTTTCGCGCAGTGCGTGTAAAAGGTAATCTGTGCCTCCTTCAACAGTTCCAGAAATTGTATGTCTCAATTTGGCCGCCTCCCTGCAATATCTTGCGCACGCTTGCAGACTTTTGCCTTTGTCACCCCACCTTCGTCAAGTTTGACCTCGCACCCTACAGGCAGGCCAGCTCAAGCTGCCTGGAGGCACCCAACAGCATGATGACATGCCAGTAAACGCGGCCACGGCAGCACATGTCAAGATCGAGAACTCCTGTCTTAGCTCGCAATAGTTTGGCAGACCCGACATCCTGAGCACAGCTGTTTCTGCTGCTGCGATATTGTGCGCCTATGTCACAATCTTTTGTACGGCAGCACATCCGCACCGCAAATCAGAACCTCCTCCCAACCACAAGTCGCAATCAGAGCCTTGAGGAAAGGACAGGCTGCCGCAAAAAGGGTTGAGTACTGCACTGCCCGGCTTCTTTACCCTGCTGTACTCTGCTGAAGGGTTGGAGGTACGCCCTGTCTTATAGTTCAACTTCTAATTGATCCAACTGCTCATGTCAAATATGCCATTGGCAAAGCCAAGGGGCGGTAGTACTGACGAGCCTGGCAAGGCACATCGCAAGTTCCGGAAAACATAAATATGTGCCGCAACATGACCAAGAAATGAATTACATATTGCGAGGTCCTCATCTTTGTGACCGTTGAGAGTTGGCGCGAACGCTCGACACACTGACTAAAGAAGGCCGGAGAATTGAAACCTGCCTGCCGTATTGGAGGATACGCAGTTGGATAATCATCTCTCCATGCGTCTATGTGCCTCTCTACTTATCTATATGTTGGTCAAACAGAGGCATCCCGGAGACCGCTCGCAAAGCCATGAAGTTGAACACATGACCCTCTAAAGTACTTGTCACTGCCTTGGGCAGGCTTGCGGCCTAGCGTGTCGTGAAGATTTCGAGTGGGAGATGGTGAGCCAACAGCTGGCTGAAAGAGAGCAGAAAGATGGCGCCTCATTGCTGTTGGTCTTGACTGTAGGCTGGTATACATTAGACTGGCATTACTAGCGGAATGCACAGGGCAGTGCCCTATAGACAAGCAGGTTGTTTGACACAAAGGCAGATGGATAGATAGACGCACGGATAGATAGACTATATACTGGTTGATTGATGTGATTGATTGGTTAGATAACCAGGGCGGGTGATGGACACACGGAAGGAAGGAAGGAAGGAAGGAAGGAAGGAAGGAAGGAAGGAAGGAAGGAAGGAAGGAAGGAAGGAAGGAAGGAAGGAAGGAAGGAAGGAAGGAGGGAAGGAGGGAAGGAGGGAAGGAAGGAAGGAAGGAAGGAAAGGAAAGAACAGAAAACCAAAGAGAAAGAATGCAAGCTAGTGAAACTAGCGGAAACATGGATTTGATAGCTGCACAGACTGGTAGACAGACAGATTGGGAGATAGACACGCGGTCTCTGCACGTTTCAGCCTCAGCTCAAAGGTAGATAGATAGATGCAGAGATCGGTGCATGGATTAAGAGGTAGATGACAAATGGATAGGCACGGACATGCAAAAGAGACAAAAGAAACAGAAACAAAAGCAAACCAAAACAGCATACAAACAACACAAGCCGTTTAGGCGACTGGGTCAAGTGCCCCGCTCCGGATGCGGCAACAAAAGGTCAAACACACGTGGACAAGTTCCCAAAAAACACAAACCTTGTTAGAACCACAGCCGCGTTTTGGACAATTCAAGACAGAGACACGTCTTGAGTGCGGCTAAGCAACCTACAAATGATGGAGCTCGTGGCTTCCATCAGGTTTTCTCTGCTCAAAGGGAAGCCAAAAGGGGGCTGATCGGTAGCTTGAGCTTCCACACCCAAGAGTCGCAATCAGCTCCCACCGGCCTTGGCCCACTGTCGGATCTCCAGCGCGATCGCGGCACAGTCGTCAAAGCGCTTCCGTGCTTCAAGGACCTGTGCCACATGAAACGTCCCAAGAAAAGGCTCATGCCTCAGCCCTCGTGTGAGAACCAAAAATGATTCTTTGCAGGAACTTGCGTTGTCCTGTCTAGGAACTTGCGTTGTCCCAAATGGCCAAATAGATCTAAAATGCATGTTCAAGCTCTTACACGTGGTGGGCAAAAGCTTGCTTCTCTCGAAACATAGACCATGTTGTTTGACTCCGGAGATGCCATCGTGACAGGGCTAGCGCCAGCCACCCGCCCAGCCATCTTTGGAGCCACCCGAGCCTCCAGCCGCAGCTCTTGCCAGTTGAGGTCCTGCAAGAAGACATCCTGCTCTTCCTGGCAAATGCCGAGGTGGACAGCTGGCAGGAGCTAGCCAACTGGGCCAACTGGACCAACTGGGCAGGAGCCAACTGGGCCAACGTGTAGCTGCGCACGCTCTTGATGCAGGAATGGCACCACAACATTGAGTTGAAGGCTGAGTCCATGCGAAAGTTCGCCCGGCAAAAAGGAAAGGCAGCTGGAGCAACGGAGTGTCAGCCCCCTCGCCTCCGGCAGAGTTCCAATGCAAGTTTTCAGCGCATCCCGCATGTGCTTCGGCTTGTCCTCCAGGCTGCAGGCTAGGAGCCCCGAGGAGAGGTTCGCAGCCAAGCAACGCAGCAACTTCTATCAGGATCGGGTCATGCCAAAAGCTGCCCCTGGCCTCCTAACTGCTTGATCGGTACGTCCCCCTGCCAATTGGCAAAAAGCTTTGGGTACTGTCAATAGCGCAACCCTTTCATCAATGCAGTTGTTGCTCCAATTTCCATCGACTTCCAAAACTTGCGCGATGAGACTTAAACCATCAGGAAAAAGTAGGGATGTGGATTTGCACCCTTTGGGAAGGGCATTTACAGGAGCATGAACGACCTCCAATTGAGTGCCTGCTCATAACTGGAATTTTCCCTATTGCAAGCAACGAATAATGTTGCCGTTCGATCGCTAGCACGACCACGGATGAACTGCCAAAATTTGGCACGCTGCATCTTCTGACCCAGGCAATGGCCGCTGCATCTTCTCCCAACATGTTGCAAATCAACCATCCTCACAAATTCCGCCATTGGCCAGACTAGGCTTGTTCCCACCTGCATCCTTTTGAGGCTCCCAGAGAGGAGCAAACTGGTTTGCTTCAAGATGATCGGCCCCTGAACGATGCTACCCTCCAGCCAACACACTCGCACACACAAACAGACATTCATGGGTCTGCCTGTTGCTGAGGATGTCCTGTTTTGATGTTAGTCAACAGGGAAGCGAAAGAGAAACCACAAAGCCATTCTAGGGGTTCCCCCTTTCTAGTGAACAATCCCTACGCCAATTTTTTCCCCCTCCCTCTCCTTCAAGTCCTTGCGCTGCAAGCTCTTGGCCAACTCCCGGCAAGCCATGATGACCACATCCACCGCGCTCCTCAGCGCTTCACTCAGCTCGAGCGAGCAGCTGCTGTGAAGTCCAGGTCTTCGATTGTTTGAAAGGCTGCTCGCCGAAAAATGCGGTGAACGGGCCCAAGTAGCTCCTGATTGGGGGGGGGGGGAGCAAAACTGTGTCAAGGTACCTGCTTATAAGGAGGGATCCTCTGCGATGGAACGTGGGCATGTACCATTACAGAGGTAAAAACCCTCTACAACAGCATGTGAACACTTGGTGTTGCTGTTGCCACTCACCAAAGTCTGGGCGGAATCACCAGGACCCAATGGTAATTTTGAGAACCAGTCAACGCGTTCACTTGAAGGGACGCGGTTCATGACTGCTTGGCACAGAAACGTCGAAGCTGGTTTACCCCATGAATGATCCTGGCTAGGACATGGAAAAGAATGAAATGCGCAGCAGGCTCAAGACTCATGGTGTCCCCAAACAGCACCAAATGTTTGTTAGGAACCCTGCTTTCCTGATTGTACTTTTGTGGGTGTCCACTTACTACAGTGAGTCACGCAGAACACTGGCTATTGCTCAAACAACTTGCTACCATGCAAACGCGCACCACAACTGGCGATCCTAAATTCATTCAGTTGCTCAAAACTCAACAGTTGACTTGTCAGCTTCTCGCCATTTCCTGTCTGCTGCCCTGCAAGGTGACGCAAACTCATGTGCACGAGACCCCTCAATGTTCTGTGGCTTTCCGATGTCAACGTCTCTCCCGAAAACTCAGGTGGGCAAGCATTGAGGTGCTTTTTATGGACCCAGAGGCTCCCCATGTTTTGGGGGACCTCAAACAGCCAGGTTTTGAGAACCCCAAACATCTCCGGGGTGTCCATTCAAGGGGTCGGGTCAGTCGGGTCTTCCAAGCCCCAGGAGCCTCTGGGGAGAGTGACGTTCCTGTGAACCCGTTAAAAAACTGCGTCCCGTCTCTTTGGAGCCGCGCGGCGCTGGCAGCTTGGCATCCGGCCCTGCCATCTTCGCGGCCAGCTTTGCCTGACGAGAATCCACTCGGACAAAAAAACGATTGGACACGGCCAAAAGGCCAGATTTTGAGAAGCCCCCAAGCTGCAAACTGCAAGTGGCGAACCAAAACGGGCCTCTTTTGAGTCGTTTTGTGGGGGAAAGGGGAGGGGAGGGCCAGGTTGGGTCTTTTGCATTACCTTAAAGCTGCGCCGCGCAGCTAACTGCAAGCCGAGCAGCGAAGTCCTCCCAGAACTCTCCCCGCTGGAAGGCCTTGAGTGCCAAAAGCTCCTCGCAGCCGGGTTCTCCGGGTTGGCCCAAAGAGGGGACGCAGTCCTCTTGGCCACAGGACTAGTTCTCTCTTCAGGTATCACCCAACCAAAAGGAGACTCACTTTGCAATTGGCCCACGCAAGGTTTAAAAGGGGAATACAGGGAACCCTGAAACGTGGAGGTTTGATGCACAAGGCTGCTCCAAAGACAGTGGTCACAAGGGAAGAAATTTGGTTGCTGGAAAATGCCTTGTACATCCTTGTGCCAGTTGTCTAGCCTTGCCTGGTTTGGTCCTTCGTTTGAGGTTCTGAGCAAACCTGCGTGAGGTTTTGCTTTAAAGAGGGAATTTGGTTACTGTCAATTTACCATTTGACAGCCTAAAAGTGTGTGCTTGATTGGTGGCTTGGTAATTGATGTGGGTGTCCCGTGTTGGGGAAAAATTGGTGTCACTAGCTTAGCGATGTTTCTTTGTAGTTGGATCATTAGCAGTCTTGCGGGGCGCACTGTGGACTCACAGCCGGGAGAACGTTGGTTGCCACTTGCCCCAAGCAACGGTTGAGGGAACAACGACCCGAGAAGAGTACCCAACAACGGTGCAGAGGCAATGCAGCCCTCAAGCCACGCCCCTCCCCCTCCGCCTCGCCAGCCTTGCTGTACATCTGCCCCGCACGGTCAAACTTTTTGAGCTCCTGAGACGGTTTGGCAAGGTTTCGCCTGACAGCCTGCGCGCTTGCTCGTTGCCAAATGTTTGGGTTGGTTAGAAGTGTTGGAGGCTTCAAGAAGGAGATGACAAGCAATGGCCCAACTCCGTTGCAAGCAGTTTGCAGTTGTGTAAACAACCTCCTCAGCGAATTCTTTAGCGGAAGCCAAAGGAGGGTTCTGAACCATGGCTTTACACCAGCTCTCGAAGCGCGCCGCTTCCTCCGCGCACTCCGCGGCGTCCCGGAAGCAGCCGGAAGCTTCGAACTCGCGGCCCGCCTCCATCGCGCGTCCGCGATGTGTCGTTGAGCGTCGTTGGGGGTGTTTTCGAAACGGCGCAAGGGCTTGTTTGTTTTCCTAGGTTCAGCGGACCGCTGTTTGTGTTTTTTTTTTGCCGCGTAACAAGTGCTGTATATACTTGTTGCTTGAAACAAATGAACCCCCGCTCAAAGGTCAAGACAGGGATGGCAATGACACCCACGTAATCCCATGTGTAGCCTTCAAGCATCACCTAAGAAGACTCCAGCAACTGAGGCTTCAAGGAAGCCAGCCAGGAAGTATGCGGAGCTCTGAGCCTCCCCCCCTCCCCGCCACCTGGCACTTGCCGGGTTGAAGCGGAAGACCTTGCCACCAACACATGGGAAGTGCCCTGAAAGACTGTCTGCGCAATCTTGCCTGCCTTTCGGACAAAACCCTGTAACAGGGGGAATCCCAAAGTCCTTGACCGGGGAGAAGCCATTCCGTCTCTGAGAGGTTCAAGGAACGCATTCTCTAACAGGGGTCGAAAGTCAAAAGGTCCTAAAACAGCAACGCCCAAGACACAGAAACATGGTTTCTCACTTCCTGAGTGGACTGGCCAACAAAAGTCCCAACTGTCTCTTTACCGCTAAAATGGATCTTCCAAAGCTAAAGAAACCTGAGTGTGCCTCTTGTTGGTTTTCCAAGGAACCCGGTTCCTTTTTAGCGGGTTTTTAAGCGAAGGCCCGTTTGGGGAGCGCCCCTCGTTTGAAACGGGCCCCAGAAAACCGCCCGCCGAAAACCGAAACCCGCTAAAACCCGCCTGCACCAAGTCGTTGCCCTCCAAGAAGCTCTCGGCCGCCTTCTGGCGCGCCTTGGTGGGCGCCAGCTCTGGCTCCTCCAGCGCCAAGTCCTGGGGCGCTCGTGCGGGACGTTTCTTGTGGGTTCATTCCCACCCGGACAAGAAACCACCCCAAGAAACTGCGAGCATGTCCTTTTTGGTTGGTTTGCCTGGTTACCTGGTGGCTTCATCATCTACCAGGGGTTTCCCGCGGTTTCCCCATCTATTTTCCATAAAGACGAACCCAAGGACAAACCAGACAAACCCAATAAACGGTCCCTGAATAAAGGGCACCATAGGGGATTGTTGGTCGGGGTCGGGGGCATTCCCTCATTCCCTGCGGCGAAACGGACATTGAACCAGTCCAGCCCGATGCTTGAATGGTCCCTTCGCATCACGTCGGGTGGCCTCCGAGGGGACTGGAAGATGCCCATCGCATACTCAGCATAACAAGCAAACAAAACCACATGTATACATTCACAGGTCCTGGCCGAGCCACAAAGAGGAGAAAAGTAAAACCATGTTTGGCGTGACTGTCGCTCCTGAACCTCCCGCTTGCGGGAGTCGCCCAACGCCACTTCCAACCACTCTGCCAGTTTGACGTACTTGGCGCCCGCCTTGCAGGCGAGCTGCAGTCAAAGCGCTTCAGCCTATGCAACCTTGTGCTCTCCTACTAATGAACGCTGAGATGTAGGGATAACTGAAGGCCATTTCCGGATGTGTCCGGTTGACTCATCACAAGCTTGAGCACAATCTGGGACAGTCGCCTGCCCAAGTGTATGGTCAGTCGTACTTACATGTTCCCTGGAACGTCACCGATTTGAAAGTTTCTAACCTGTTGAACACCTTGGCGCCGTACTGCTGATGGGTTGGGATCTTCAAATTGCAACAGTCCTGCTTGCTGTGACCTGCACAAATGACTGACCAAGCCCCATGATCTGAACCAAGCCCTACAGGCCCGACCCAACTGATTCGTCGCAGCTCTCTACTTGGAAGTTGGAAACTTCCTACAACTCTATTGCTCGGCTTGCCTTTTCTCGCTGCAAAGTGATCCGCCCTCCAATAAATAAGCCCAAACAAAACAAACGCATCATCTGCATAGTGCTGGCTCATGGGGTTGTGGGGCACGTTGAAACCCAATTAAATCATGACCAAATGGGTTGTCTCCCAATTGAGAACCACGTTTTGGTGTCGAGGGGGCCCAAAGAAACCAATCATTCTAGAGTGCGCTCTTGAAAAAAAAACATACGAGAATCAAACATTTACCCTTACAATGCTCACATCATGCACCGTACCTCCAGGAAGTCTTGTTTGGGCAGGCGCCTGCAATCCTGGCACGGCACGTAGCAGACCCTTGCCCCCGTTGATTTACCGGAGGCGTTTGCCTTGGCGCCTTTGGGCTTGGCCCAAAGCAGTGGGAGGGCAAAGTCTCAACTGATCTGCAGGGGAAGGGGGCAGAACTTGAGACTTGGAACGCGAGAGGACCGGCTCCGAGCCGGCACCCGAAGTCCGAAGTGCGATTCAACCAAATCCTCTTTGCAGGCATCCCCGCATGTGAACCAGCAACGTCAAAATGGCCAGTCTGAGAGAAAGGAAGAAGCACACGCAGTCCAGAAGAAACTACCTTGGACCTTGGCCAACAAGGCCAATCATGGACGTCACAAACGACTTTCAGGGAGACTTGTTCAAACCCAACACGGAAGATACCCTCGCAGCACTGGGGCTGTAAGAAGCTCAGAGAAGTGGCGAGTGAAGACTGGTAAGGCTTGTCAAGGGCCAAAGGCTGAACGGCGTCCTGGGCTCCGGCGAGCAGCTTCCATGGAGTGCCCTGGGCCGTGCAAATCTGTTTGGCCCACTGTGAGCTTCCCAAGAGCGAATTTGCCAGCCTGCCTGACAATTGCCTAACCTTGCCAAGCAAACTCTAAGGCCCAAAATTGCACAAGGGCAAACACACCACACACACACACACCAACTTCAGGATAGCTCACACTGCCCCGCCTGCACGATGTTGGACAACTCGGCGTTGCTGAAACACAAGTGGGCCTTGCCACTTTGCAGCTTTGCAGCGGCAACATTGACCCCATTTCTATTGTAATTCCTTGCCTTGCCCCTTGCCACTAACGACTTGTCTTGCACGCACCCCTGTCCACCCAGAGCCATTCGCAGCAAAAAGTCGGCACGCCAAACTGCTTGCCAACAGCGAATTGAGTGATTGCGCCCGTAGATTACAAAGAAGGGTCTTGCTTGACTGCAAGTCAAACACTTGCGGACTCAAGCAAACAGGCAATCGGCCCATGAAACGATCACAAACGGGTCCGTCAGCCATATCACATTGACAACACTGGCATCCAACAATGGATCACACAAATCAGGATACAACTAATCCCGCGCCCAAGTAGCCAAACGAGCTTTGCAAAACCAAATCCCAAAGCAGAAAACGAGATGGACTCAGGGTGGAATGCTAGGCCAGTCAAATCTAAAGGACCCTGATAGCTGTGCATCCTCCACCAGCTTTCAAATCGAATCCACTTGAACCCTTTGCATTTCTGCTTGATACATAAACATTTTCGGCCAAGTTCAAGTTTACGCTGGCCACTTCTTCTCTCGCTCTCTCTTGTTGTTTTTGTTTGTTGTTGGTTCTTCCCCTATCTCTCTCCCTCTCCCTCTCTCTCTCTCTGTGCATTTGTTTCTTGTCAGTGGTACTTATTTTCCTTGTCAGTAAACAAAAAACAACTACAGTCATTCTTGAGTTGTTTGCGAGTCGTAGGTGCCCATTCGCACCGTGGACAAACAAACTCATGAGTCCTGAACTATTATATTTCTCTTAATCAGCTTGCGAGCCATCAGTGCGGAAGTTCCGTTAACTCTTCCGTGAGTCATTAAGCTACCTAGTTAAATGAGCAGCCATGTAGCTTGAACCAGCTGCGCTAGTTGGTTGATCATTTTGTGAGTTGCAAGCTTGATGCGTGAATAGTTGGCGGAAAACGAGGGATGAAAATCAAGGTTGGAATCACCCCTTTCAAACCTCGATTTGCTACATTAAACTCCCTGAGTGTTGGCTTGGGGATTTGAACCCTGGTCCTTGTTGAGGGCAACTATTCCGAATTTTGAAACCGCCAATCCAAATCACCAAGTGCGGGGCAGTTTCCTTGAAAAGGGCCGACCTGGGTCGACCAAAATCCCATCTGGGGTCCGGCCTCACTGAAGTTCCCGACCCGAAATAGGCGCAGGCCCTGCTCAAACCTGGGCTGAGTTGGAACATGATACAGTGGAAACACACTCGACCAAAAACGCCAAGCAAGCGAGCAAGCAAGCAAGCAAGCAGGCAAACAACCAAACAAACAATAAAACAATAACACAATCGATCGATCGATCGATCGATCGATCCATCGAATCAATCAACCAACCAACCAATCAAATCAAATCATTCAACCAATCAATCAATCAACGGAAGAAACAAACAAACAAACAAACAAACAAACAAACAGACAAACAAACAAACAACCAACCAACCAATCAATCAATCAATCAATCAGTTGATCAGTCCAACGACCAAACAAACACTCAAACGAACAATCCATCAAACAAACAATGTATCGAACAATCAAACAAACAAGCAATCAATCAATTACACAACCAAACAAACACGCATTCAACCAAACAAACAATCAGCCAAGCAAACAACCAACCGAACAATCAAAAAAACAAGCAATCAATGAAACGATTAAACAAGCCATCAAGCAAACATTCAATCGAACAACCAAAGAAACAAGGGATCAATCAACCAAGCAAATTCCAACAAAACCATACAACAAATGAAACATCTGGCAACAACCATACAAACAAGCCATCAACAACAAAAAATCTTCATCGGGCCGTGGAACCATTCCTGGCCCGTGGAGGTGTCCGCGAAGCCGGCGGCCAAGCCTGAGGCATCCTCGGAAGGCCGAAGGCCGAAGGCCGAAGGCCGAAGGCCGGCCACTTGTCTTTGAGCCCGTGCGTTTGCAGCCCAAATTCCCAATTCCAACCCCCCCAATTGCCAGGCACCCGCTCCAATTTGTGACAAGTGGGTTTGGCAACAGGCTGAATGGCAAGAAAGGGCTTTAAAACAAGGCATGACTAGACCCAGTGAATGCTCTCCAAGTTGTTCTTCCGCCTTGATTCAGCTTAGACTTTTGCCAAGTGGGTGCTACAACGCTGTGAATCAGCAAAACTACGCCAAGACAACCCGAGCGTGTGACACAGCCTAATGTTTGCATCTATCGCTCACACAAAAACGATGGCATGTCAACTCTGTTCATGCACAGGCTGCGCTAAACATGTTTTTGAAAGTCATCTGCGCGAACGCCCTCACGATCAAAGTAATTTCTTAAAACCTAGGCCACCTAGTCATGCAATGACTTGAGCGGTAAGCCTGCCACAGCGCCAAGCTTGCGCCAGGCGTCGTCACCTGTGTTGCACACCTTGGCAACACCCAGCTCTTTCAAATAGCCTCAGCTGTGAAAACAAATGGATCCAACGGTGGCACTCCACCCACCAACAACAAGTGCAATCTTGCGCACAATTCTATGCTTGCTTCAAACGACAAAGTCGAGCGAAGAAAGTGTAAAGCGGAACGTGCACCCATGAAAACAAGATCCCTTGCACTCAACAGCACATGCAGCTGATTCAGAAGGCGGCCATGTGGCTGACCACTGCTTGTCCAGATTCGCTACTTTCGAGCATCCAAACCTTGGCAATGCCGTGCACCTATGCAATCTGCCATTGTTGGTGGCTCCATTTGGCACTCAAAGTTTCGCATGATAAGCTGTTGTGCAACATCCGCATTTGTCGTGGGCCCCTTGAACAACAGGCTATCATGACCTCACCCACCTGTACCAACCATTTTAAAAGCGGGGCCGCCATGCCTGTGCTTTTGCAGAAACACGCCTGCCGAGCGGCGCGTTTCCGTGCTCGAGTCACTCCCACGTAGAGCGTCTTGAGCCACGAGCACAGCAGCCCATGCCGGTCTGCACTGAACTCCACCGCCCGTTTGAGGTCGCCAGCCGCAACCTGACAATTCCAACCCCGAGCCTGGCACTTGACCTTTGTATCTTTTGGTGGGTCGCTCTTCCCCCTTGAGCAAAAAACTCTACACTGTTTGTAGGTTTGGTGGGAGAACAATTTGTGTCCAAAAGGTCCAAGTGGCTATTTTCACGCCAATTGTCAGCCATTCACAAACAGGCCGCGGCGCGAGGGAAGCCGAAGAATATGTTCTGCCTGTATGTGTGGGAGTGGGAGTGG